GTGGACACATGCAGAAAGCAAAGCATGATGTGCCACAATCAAGTTCCTGAAACTCACTGATAAAAAGAAAATTTTGAAAGAGGCCAGGGAAAAAAAATACATTACATGTCACAGACCAGTGATAGTCCAAGAACCTCTCCATCAGAAAGTTTGCAAGGAGACAGTGTAACGATGAAAGGTTGGGATGGGGAAGAACTGTCCATCTAGAGGGGTTTTTTCTATTAGAAAGTATTTTTCTTTTGGTGATACCAGGGATGGAACTCAGGACCTTGTGTTTGCCAAGCAAGCACTTATTCCACTGAGCTATCTCCCCAGTACTAGAAAGTACTATTGAAAATTTGAGGCAAAAGTTTTTCTCAACTAAAGAACTGAAAGAACTCAGTACTAGAAATCTACTTCATAGAAATATTAAAGGAAGTTCTTAAAACTGAAATATATATGCATATGTCAGATAGAAATGTGGATCTAAATCAGGATGGTGTTAGGAAAGATGAATGTGTCGATAAATCTTAAAAGTTCCGTACTTATGTAATAATTTCTTTAAAACTATTTTATTGCTTGAACCAATACAATAGGCTTGTGGGCTGGTTAGATAGCCCAGTGGACTAAGCACCTGCTTAGGAGTGCACAGGAACTGGGGTTCAATCCCTGGCACTACCTGCCACTCTGGCCCTACCCCCACGCATGCTGGGCCGACCACTGAGACCAGGCTTGGTGGCACGCACCTGTAAACTCAGCGCTGGGGAGGCTGCAACAGGAGGATCACTACAAGTCCAAGCCGCATAGTGAGACCCTGTACCAAATATGAAAAATAAAAAATTAAACAATTGAAGGACAGAAGTGCTTAGATTAAATAAAGAGTAAGACGTAGTTGTATGCTGTTTATAAGAAGTGCACATTAAATGTAAAACACAGATACATTACGAATAAAGATGGAAAAGAGATACCATACAGATACTAATCATGGCAAAGTGGATGCCTCTATCAATAAGAAACCAAGCTTTAGGATAGAAGAAGACTGTGTGAGGAGAACTCGTCGCAATGGTTTTCTAACCACTAAAACCTAGAAATTGACCCTTCAAGGGAGACACCCTGTGCCAGTCAACTGCATGTGAAATCTCTTGGTTAAAAGTAAGCAGTCTAAACTCGTTTGCTAAACCAAGTAGTGAACTGAGCAGAGCTGCCTTTTCTAGCAGACTCTTCTCTTTCGTGTGCATCCGTCTTATGAACTCTTAATTATAAGTATTTTAGGTCAAGAGTTCTCTCTCCTGGACTAGAGTTGTGCACAGGTATAAAAGGGTTAGAGATCAAGGAAAACGTCAAAGAAGTATTTAAGGGTAGACGATATTGCAAGATAATGAAAATGGTATTTTATAAAGATCAGAGGTAAGAGGTCTACATTATGAAGCAGCATTAAAAGGCACGAAGAAAGCTCACAGAACTAAGGGGAAAAGGTAGGTGCACAGTGTAGCTGGGAATTTTAAGACCTCTCCCCCAGAAATGGAAAGAAAATCAGAAAGGTTTAAGAAAGAGTGAGAGACACATTGGTAGGAATTTCAGCTTATAGCTTTGGAATCGCAGCTTTCCAATGCATGTTGGATGTTCGCCAAGATTCACAATATAGTCTTATATTAATCTCAACACAATTTGAAAGATTCAGTCACACAAAGTGTATTCTATAGCTACAAATGAATTAAACATAAGTAACAGAAAAATAATCAGAAAATCCCTACGAACTTAGAGATGAAGCAACAGGCCTCTTCTAAGCTGATTTTCTATTGAGAAATTGAAACTAACATGTGAAAAATTATTTTCAAAGGCAGAAGAAATAAAACCATGTTCTTTTTATGCCATTGTAGGAGCATGAAAACAAAATAAGGCTTTAATAAGGCTTTAAAATTCTGGGAAGAGATACATTTGTGGCGGTAGCTTGTGAAATTGGTGATTTCTTGCTTGTCATTTTCTTATAGAAAGACAGTGTGGGCTGGGGTTACCCAGGGTCTTTGTATACTGACAATATGAAACTCCCCTATCATGAGATCTTTCTTACAAAAAATAAGGCATTGAAGAATCACAAAGTGCTGGGACAACCAGGAATTTATTACCTGCATTTGAATTTGTGTGTCTGTGTGTGTGAGAGTTCACCAAATATACTGTCCTTCTAACATATATCATATTGTCAAGACGAAAGCCATTAAAACCTAGAAATGGATGCTCCGAGGGAGACACCCTGTGCCAGTCAACTGCATGTGAAATCTCTTGGTTAGAAGTAAGCAGTCTAAACTCGTTTGCTAAACCAAGTAGTGCACTGAGCAGAGCTGCCTTTTCTAGCAGACTCTTCTCTTTCGTGTGCATCCGTCTTATGAACTCTTAATTATAAGTATTTTAGGTCAAGAGTTCTCTCTCCTGGACTAGAGTTGTGCACAGGTATAAAAGGATTAGAGATCAAGGAAAATGTCAAAAAAATATTTAAGGGTAGACGATATTGCAAGATAATGAAAATAATGTTTTATAAAGATCAACTATAATTCACATAATCCACTCATTGGCAGTTGACAGTTCATATCCTTTACCAAAATTTCAGAAGATATAGCACAGCATTTATGTGAATAATGAGTTATTTATTGAGGCTTATGAAAATTGGAACCTTTATAAATATCAGCTAACCCAAAAAATAATTTTTGTTTTCTCTAGCCAAAAGGGATTTGTGGAAGTTTTGCAGCCTTTTTCAAGAGCCATCCCAATTATACATCCAGGAAATTGTTCATTAAACAAAAATACCAGGTCCCAGATATTTATTTGGTGAATGATTATAAATAATGAAAGCACAGCTTGCATATGTATGTGCAGGCGTGCGTGCATTTGCTCATCTCTGTGGTTTCATCCACACACGCAGGCTGTTTTTAATGCATACTTCCAGGAGGCCTGAGCCCAGGCAGCAAGAATAAAAGCAGACTGACTGGGTGGGTATGAAAAACACGTCTTGGTAAGGACTGGCTTCCTGGAACTCAGCTTCTGAAGGCGACGGTAGTGATTCTGTATTGGAGCTGGCGGTGCGGCCGGCTGGAGTTCAGATGAGTAAAACTGAATGAGGGGGACAGAGTGGCAGCTGATCTGCGTGCCCCCACGGGCCTGAAAGGACTTGTCATTCACGATCACTTGGGGTCACCCTCAGGTCGTTCTAAAATATGGGATGACTTAGAGTCAACGAAAATAAAGCAGACAAAAATAATGGTTATTAACTCTAAAAATGTTTTTTAAAAGTTGTATGATGAAAAGGAAAATATTCAGAGTACCATTTGGCTCAGTTGTGTATAATATATAATCACAGTAAAGGAAGATAAATTTAAAGGAAAAAATAGTAACTGAGGGATGGCAGAAGAGGAAGTGGAGGAATGGGGTAGATAAGGGTAATAAAGGTCTTGCCTACCATATAGGAACTGGTAAGTAGTATCTACAATTGACGAATCAAAAGGAATTATATGTAACAATGCAGAAAGAAGAAGTAGAAACTCACTTAACATATAATTACATGAAGGGTGACAGAATGGACTGTATTTTGTATAAAACTTTTCAGACTACTTGGTTTGCAGTTGCATGTCACACCTGATGTATTTTTTGATGTTTCTTTTTTAAAATTTTTTATTTTATTTTAATTTTTTAATAGATTGCAAATTGAAAATAAATTATTTACAAACATAAATGAATATAACAATAAAAATTGTTCAAAATAAAAATAAAGAATTTACAGATCAGTCATAATAGTTCACTGTGAATGTTTCTTAAAAGGAGTCTTTTTCTAATCTTTCCCACCTGCCCTGTGGGCCTACTGTGCAGTAACCCTGACAAGTAGATACCATGTGCCTCCTCCCTCCCAGGCTACAATGCTGGTCTTACTTGTATCCATATCCCCGAAGCCACACCCAGTGTCTGACGCCTGGTGGGTGTCATAGCTAGAGCAAAACGGAATGACTATGACTTCCAGTGGTATGAACCAGCTGAATGGGTGGGATTAGTGTATGGTGTAAGTCTTTTAGGACTAGAAAGTACCTTAGAAAATAATAATGCCAGTGTAATAGTAAATTTATCATTGAATACAAGCTCTAATAACTCCATCTCTTGCAATCTGGGTTTCACCATGTTGATGAAGTGCTGAGGAGCTAATTATTTAAGGAGCAGAGACTAGTCCTGATAAGAGTACATCAAAATTGCAAATACAGGGCATAATTGCAAATTCTTCAGGAAAATGTTTCTGTACAATAGGTTAATTGGTTATAAGTGGACAGCACTGTCTGTAATTTAAGCTCAGCTTTTAATTTCATCCATGCCCCTTTTTTCATCAAATATAAGTGGGTAATTGTGATCCAATTAGTCTCCTAGAATAGCTGTCTGCTTATCCCCGATTTCCAAGATTGAAATAATCTCATGCACCTGCCCTTAGCTTCCCACCAGGATCATTCCCATGCTTATTCCTCAGAGCTGTCTCATGATGGGAACTCTGTAGTCAGGTGGCCAGTGTATAGGGTAGCTTATAGTGATATTATAGGAAGAAGAAGGTGCTCCAATGGGAAGAATAAGGGAATTTTTGAGAAAAGTTAAGCCAAAACAGAGATGGAAAGGAAAGGCCAGATCGCTCAGTGGACTAAAGCTCCTGCTTAGGTAGAGCGCAGGGACCAGAGTTGGATCCCCAGCGTGCTGTGCCTGCTGTACCGCCAGGGCATGTTGAGACAGCAACTGAGACTGGATGTGGTGGCACGTGCCTGTAATCCCAGTGCTTGGGAGGCTGAAAACAGTAGGGTCACTATGAGTCTGATTTGTGTAGTAAAACCCTGTAGACCATGTACTACATACAAAAAAAGAGAGAGAGAGAGATAGGAAAGTACTGGTTTGGGGCTGATTGAGCTAGAAAACTGCCCCCTGCTCTGCCGTGCTGCATGGCGTGGCTTGATCGTTTCTGCAGTGGCGAGGCCCTTACTCTCTTTTGCATCTCTCCGTCTTAGTGGTGCAATCTGTGCATCGACTTGGCAGCATTCACCAGCGAAGTATTCAAGGGGGCAGTTTTCCAGTCATTGGATGGCATCATCGTCTCAGCTAACTGTAAGCTACGGAAAATCTTCACCTTAAAATCAAAGCCCCAAGACACTGCTGATAAAGATGGTATGTTTTGCTATTAAACTTTTAAATTCTTTGATGTGTTTGTAGTCAGCCGTGCTTTCCAGGGAGCATGGCAGCAAGTTGACTTTATGTCTACGAAAGTAGATTTTCCTACAGTCATGTTGATTTCTTTATTCTGGGTCGTGTGGCTGTTTTTGCCAAGCTGAATATCATAAAGATGCATTAGGCTTTCTTTTTGTGCTTTTCTTTTTTGCTTGTGGTAGCACCATGTGAGTTAGGATTCTTAGCTGCAAACAGAAGAACATTCTCTGGGTGTGTCCTCAAAAGAGAAGATGAATTTATGTAAGGACACCGGTCACTTACAGAATCCCATAGATTGTGTATAATCACCCAAGAACAAATGCAGCCTTTAGCGCAAGACTGCTGCAGGTTGTCACCCCCGCCCAGATCCTTCAACTGAAGAGGCTCAAGAAGTCACATCATAACGCAGTACTAGCTCTAGGTTCCAAAATTTCTGTTATAACCTCCCCTAAAAGCAGGAGACCTACTTCCCTGCCTCCTTTGCTGGAAATGCGTTTCTTCTTCACTTTCCCTCCAGTAACAAGGTGGCGTGCGACTCAGTTGCAGGCTGCAAGGGAGGCCAGTAAAGCACAGCCTCCTAATCTGAGAGGCCAGACTTACTGTGTGGGAAAGTATTCAAATTAGGAGGGGTGTGCAGACCATCCTGGGCATCCAGTATGCGCTGCCTTTGCATGCGCTTTTCAATTCCATATATAAAGAGAAATGGTTTGACAACAATCATATTAATGTTCTAGTGATCATTTTAAAATAGAGTTGAGAAGTTCCTCATTATTCCTAGTGAGACTATATATAACATTAATTATATATAATTTAATTCATAAATATGTTCTGCAGGTAACTCAGCCCTCTAGAGTTGATAATGGGATATACCATCCTGCAATGATAATTTTAAACAACCACTAATGAATACTAATGCTTAATTTTGATTTTGATTTGGGATTTTTTTTAATTCTTCTAGAAACCCAGGAAACTGGGTTGAACACAGTATGTCAAAGGTGATTTCTTGGGAGCTTGTCTCTAGACAAGCCTTGTGCTCCATCTGGATAAGTGTCTGAGAAATCCTTCTGCGGCTCATGCTGTGGAGTAGGATACTGTGCCCGTAACTGTCACTGCACATAGAAAGACACAGCAGTGGACTGGCAGCTCCCTTCAGGGAGCCCAGACTCATGCACCACTTAAAGGCTGTAGGCAGAGTGAAAGGTGTCACTGTGCAAACCGGACCTTAGCTAGTAAGCCTCAGAATATCCAGAAATGCATCTGTCCTCTACACCAGATCGTGGGAGGTAAATGCTAGCCTGATTGGTATAAATGTAAGGAAACAAGCGGATCAAATGTGGCAAGTTAAAAGCTCTGCCTTAAACCCAACTAAAATTACAATATGGGAAAAGATATGAAAGATTTAAATTAAAAGATATACAAATTTAAAAGATACAAATTAGGATGAAGTGGGAGAAGAAACAATAGACAACAGAGGAAGATGAATTTTATAAGCTTAAGGGATAATTTAGGGAGCAAAGAAGACTGAATCCTGTGATTCTACAGAGAGGTTTTCCAGTAAGTTTCAAAGAAGTCCATAAATCGAAGCCCGATAGGCCAGAGGCAGGACTCCATCAGCAAGCGCGGTTGTGTTCAGCTTAGGCCGCCACCCGAGGGCCACAGGCTTCTCCTCGAGCTCCACAGAGCTGGGCAGCAGGAGCCCTGCTCCCTGGAGACCCTGAGCCACAGTGCCTGTGCACTCAGGGGCATCGAGTACGTGATGGGTGCCAGGCCTGCAGGAAGCAGGACAGAGAGCATGTAGCAAAAGATGCTACATCTATAAAGTAAGAATAATGTGTTCTTGCTGTCAGCCAACATTATTTTATTGAAGTATATTATAAATGTCATAAACTGCCTATGGACCTATATAACCAAACACAAATCCAAAGTGTACAGTGTTAGGAATTATCAAAAAGCAAAAACATTTCTATACCCATCGCCCAGTAGAAATCAAGCATGGCAAGCATTTCCTCAGCCCTACTCATGTCCCCTCCCAGCCATGACCGCCTCCCGTCTCCTGAGCGGTCATCTCCGTCCTCACTCCTGCCATAGCAGTTTTACTTAATTTTGGCCTTTATAGAAATTAAATCTATCTTTTCGTGTATGCATTCTTTAACAAAACTTGGCTTGTGAGATTTATTTGTAGGTACCTGTAATAGTAATTTGCTGGGTTTTGGCTCTGTGTATGCCAGTGTTTAAGGAGACCTTACTTTATTCATCCCTTTTGCTGTGGATAAGGAAGCTATAAGCGTCCTTCTAGCCTTCTCTTGGAGCACCTGTGTAAGGATTTTTGCTTGCTTTTACTTGGGGCCAAATGAGTCATACTTCAGCATTATTGGCATATTTCTGTATTCTGGGATTTCATTTTATTCTTTTTTTAAATGTATTTAGTACAGGGCCTACAGGGTCTCACTACAGAGATCGGACTTGTAGTGATTCTGTTTTCAGGCTCCCAAGCACTAGGATTACAGGTGCTCACCACCATGCCCAGTCTCAGTTGCTGTCTCAGCACACCCCAGTGGCAGGGTCAAACCCCTGTCCCTGCGCCTGCCTAAGCAGGTGCTTTAGTCTGCTGAGCTATGTGGCTGGCCCTCTTCATTTATTCTTTTTCATGGTTTCCATTCCTCAGATGAAATCCTTAACATTGTTACCAATTTTTCAACTTTATTAATCAAAACTACTCAAAGTTCATAGCTCATAACTTCTCTATTTGTGTCCTCCGGGGTTCTGTTTTTATTCTCTGTTTATTTTTCTTATTCTTATCTCCTGATATACCTAGGTTTTTCAGTACTAAGTATCAAAAACTACAATATTTTGAGGCTCTGGATAATATTCTCTTTCTCTCAAAACATAAAACAAAAAAAACCCAAAAAGCCCAAAATATGAGGAAATGTTAACAGTACCATAGTGGAGATTAGTTCAGGAAGTCTACCATCCGAGGAGCCAGGCTCTGAGATGAGAGGCTAGGTACAGCAAAGAAATAATAAGATTTCCCCAAACTGAATCAGAATATTTTCAAATTGATATGGCTCATCACTTCCCAGAACAGCTAATAAAAAAGATCCTCTCTGGAATAAATTTTTAAAAGATCCTTTAACCTTCCAGAATTCTTAAAAGTATAATTTATGTGCAGAGCATTAGGAATAAGAAAACACAAATCACACGTGACCACATAGTAGCAGCATTAGGTCGTAGAAGACCCTGGAACTCTGCCCTCAAAAGTCTAAGAAAATGTGTCAGCCTAGAGTTTTGCAGTCATGCAGCTGTCGATCAAACAACTGCAGGAAGAAGATATAAGATCTTGGCATTTCATTTACTTGCATGTGTGCTCAGAAGAATCTGGAAGATATCCTCCAGCAAAATAAAAGAGTAGATCGAGAAAAAGGAGTGCGTGGGCTCCCAAAACAAAGTTCCATTCAGGAGAAAAACAACTGGAACATGTGCTCTAAACAAGGGAAGTATAAAAAAATGCAAAAGAAGTTTCCGCAAGATGAAAACTATAGCTATTCTGACTTCTTAACTAAATGAAAGGATATTTAAACACACACATACATGGACTAACTAGGAGCATCTTATTTTCAGAATAAAGACTGACATTTTTACCATATATCAGTGAAAACAACTGTATGGATTAGTATCTGTCCATAGACAGTGTTTGGGGCGAACTGACTTAGGAAATTAACTACCCAAATTCTACTTTGAAAGAAAAATAATTTCTCAAGCAATGTAAAATGTGTATATGAGCATAGTATTATGAAGGGATTTTTTAAATTATTAGTGCTTACTCCAGACATGAAGATAACCTAGTTCGGTCATAGCGTTCCTCTCCCTTGTTTGAGTCGTGCCCATTATCCTCCCTTGTCCTCCCCTTGGCCATCCTTATCTGAAGAGGCCGTCCATGTTCAGAGAGCAGGGAGCTCATGGGGTACGTGGCAGCGTGGAAGTAGTAATACTGCACTGCTAGTCTTCGGGTGACGAAAAAAGATAAAAGCACGATTCCTTGCCTCTGTATGTAGCAACAGGCACTAGGAACGTTAGCAAAACAGGAGCTCATACAAAGACAAATACACGAAAGCGAACAAAGTGTAACGTAGTACAGGGCCCACTGCATGCCCCGGGCAGAGGTTGGCAGAGGAAGGGAGACGGTGACAGTGATGGTGGCGGTGACTGCAGCCTCAACTCTCGATAAAATCTAGGTGCTGTTGTGAGCACTTTACAGATACAGATTTATGTAATCCTCATAACAGTTTGAGGAGGTAGATATTAAGTTAATCCCTATTTAGTAAATTGAGAAATTGAGGCACAAGAACGTCAAGTAATATGGGCAGTGCCATACCACTGTTAGGTAGGAAGCCAGGATCTGAGCCTGGCAGGAGGGCTCCAGAGTTGGTGACACTGATAGCTGCATTGTATTCCCTCTTGTGAAGTGGAAGAAGAGAAGGGGAATGCAAAGGTGGCGTGGCACAAGAATGCCGAGCTCGGGGGCTGGTTCTGTCAGGGTGTCTGTATAATAGCAAGTCCTGAATGTCCTCTTCTCTTTCTTACTGCAGAAATGGTTTACTCGGAAAAAGCAGATTGCTTACAGCGTAGAGGTCTTTGTTATAGGAAACTACCTGTTGCTTAAATTCCATATGAGAACCTAACTTTAAAATATATATTAAATGCTTACAGAGTTCAGTCCTTTATTTTCTTTGGCTTAAGCTCCTACTATTTCATTTCTTTTGTTGGTTGGTTTTGGTACAGGGAATTGAACTCAGGACCTTGTGCTTACCAGGCAGGTACTTGTGCCACCGAGCTGCCAATGCATTTCTTAATCTTTCCCAGGTCAGGAGACTTTTTTCCTAATTCTTTGCTGTTGTCTACTTATAGAGTGGGATATAATAGGAAGGGAGTTATGGGAACCTTGCCACAAGCAGGTGGCCAGT